GGTTGTATTACTCATGTCAGCCATGAAAGCTAATGCCTCAATTTAAGCTAGTTATGACTTGAAAATAGAAGGTGTTAATACAACCAAATTGAATTTAATCCAACACAAACTAACTAAACATAGTCAGGACTACAATAATCTGTAAAATTGAATTCATAATTAGTTAAATTTAGGCCGATTATCATCATCAGCGGGAATATCGACTCAGCTAGCTGAGACTTGAGAATAGAAAAAGTCAGCTCACGGGGTTTTGTATACCCTTACCGTATCTACTATTATCTAGTATCTATTACTAGTATCTAGTATTATAAATTGGTAACCTCGAGTCACCTCAATGCTTTCATCTGTCGTTATTTCTTGAAGATAGTAAACACAACTATTTGGTTGGATTATCCGATTGTAACAATTGAATATATGTATTCTTTGGATCTAATGATTCATTCAGAATACCAAGTAATTAATGCAATCATGAAATGGATCAAAGCAAAGGTGGATTCTAGAAAGTGACATCTGGAAATATTGCTAAAGTTGATTCGGTGGTGCCATTTGGAAGATAAAGATTTACCTAGAATGAAGGAGCAGGTTCAATCTCTAAATTATCAACCTTCCAAATTATGCTCTTTCTTAAAACGGGATTGTGATCTTAATTGCAATCGAACTAGGCAAGAGCATTTCATTGAGATTTACCAATTGAATGCCACAAGTTTGCGAATCATAATATCTGACAATAATTTTTATTCATTGATTGAGCAAGTCGTCAAATTAAATAATAGTATGGTTATTGGAGTTCTTCATGATGAATATGTTTCTGATATCACTTTTAATTATGGTAAGGAAGGAGTTCGAATTGATCGGAAACGCAATGAATATCGTTTGCTTGATCGATCACAATACAAAACCTATTTCATGAAAATCTATAATTGCATTCAAGAGAAAAACTTGTAAGTAACTGTTTGAAACCTCATATTTTACCCCATTTGATTGTCATATCATGAAACCATCTCACTCTTAAAACATTTACGTTTATTGTTATTACTATCGAGCCTTTTTGTGATTCAGTTATTAATTCATGTTATTACTTTATCTAATTGAACACATCTTGCTTCATTTTCTATTTGAAATTTCCTTTTGAAAAAGGATATTTCGGATCCAAAATTTGCTGATAAATTTCTTGAATTTGGAGTTTTACTTTTCGAAGCTAGGGACAATTTTATGTTGATTTGCGATAATTTTATGTCACCTGGATGCTGACCAGCAAATGCTGAACTAATTGCGAGATATTTTAAAACGGAGAAACCAAAATATTTCCACACAACTATTTTGGACACTAATTTTTACTTATTGTCATATTTCGGTATCATCAAGTACAACATTCATACACACGAGAAAACAGTTATCGAACTTGAAAGGTTTAACAATAGACTGCGCTTCGAGAATTTACTTATAGCTTCTAGAAAAGCTAATGATGATAGAGTGGTTTTAATAGACATAAGGATCCACAAGGATGCCTTTTGTTTCGACGTTAACACTCGACAATGGAGTTCAATGGGGCCAATCATTGATTGTAACCATAAATTTCCAGTTGTCCAAGGTTCAACTAATAAGCTGTTAAATATAACCACGACTTTTATATCGATGGCTACTATGAGCAATCATTTGATAATGAAAATTCGAAGAATTAACGTTTTTTACATAATTATTCATACTACGAATGCGAACGGCTCATTGTGTACTAAACTTTTGTTTTTACTTCCTTTATGCAAACCCATTTTGTTTCAATTACAATCAGATTGATTAAAATTAAACTATCTTGTTATAAATCATTGCCTTAGTTAAAAATTTTTCTTTGTTACA